TCCTTGCAGCATAGTGGTTAAGTAAAAGATGTTTGTATATCACCGTAGAATGAGAATGATGTTCTCAGAAGTCACATAGAATCACTTTTGTGATACTTTGATAGTCAAGGCAGTCTCAAAGTCCAACCTGGGTTCAAATGACAGGAAAGACTCCAATTCTGAATAGGGAAGTAACAAAGTTCTAGAAGATAATGTGAAAAAGGAAGAAAACCATTGCAACCATTTCTCAGAAAATTCACTGAGGCACAGAAGTGACAAAAGACAATTAGGTACATAGATCTGGAGTTCAAGAGAAAGATTTGAAGTGGGTGGTACAGTTTGGGTGTCATGAGAACATAGATGGTAATTAAAGCCTCAGAATTAGATGATTTTTACTTAGGAAATGTATTTAGAAAAGGCAAATAGAGAAAGAATTTTAAGGTGCACCAACTTTAACGGAGCAGAATAAAAGGAGTGTCCAAAGACACTAAGGAATGCCCAGACAGAACAGAGAGAGAGCATAGTTATGGTGTTAGGAATGCAAAGCAAAGAAGCATTTGAAAGAAGTATCCAAATGTGTCAAGCATACCAGGGACTTCCAGTAAGGTAAGAGCTAAACGCTAAGATTTGGGATGTAGTTCATCACTACCAAAGTTGAAGAGACTAGTTTTGATGGTTGGAAAATGCAGAAGCCAGATGAGTTGAAAAGAGTGTGAACAGAAGATTCCTTCAACTATATGGCTGTGAAAGAGCAGAGAGATAGAAAGCATGAGGTCAGGAAAGTCCTTTGCTTTATGAAAGAAAAGACTTGAACTTGTTTAAAAGCAGTTAGAGGAACTCCTTAAGAGGTGGAAAGCTGAAGACACAGGAGAAAGAGAAAGGCCATAGATGGAAGAAAGAACTGTGCTCTTTCTCACCATGCTGCAATTGTCAGTAAAATTCAGCACATCTCTTGGATTGATGTCCCACAACTTGAGAAACACTGAGCTAAGGTCATGTCCTTTGATTTGTATGTGATATACAACTACAAATCATCACAAATTATATAATAATTTGACTTAGCTTGCCATCTGGATTGTGGCATCTGGAATGAAATTGGGAATGTACTTGATGAGAAGACATATTTTATTAGTTGACACAATCAGGTAAAAAATGGAGGAATATCATGTGTTTATTTTATGTCTTTATAGAATACATGATCCAAGTGATCTCATTACTGAAACAGAACACAGAACATGCACTTAAAATTACGTCTTAATTATTTCATTTAAAGCCTCATTCTGATTAGAGTTTGTATCTCAAAATATAGATCAATCTAATATCATTGCATGTATTTACTGGCTAAGCATTAATTCTTATTTATTTTGCCATTTTATGAAGAAATAAAAATTTACATTTTCCCTTTTATGTATTCTGAACACGTTCACATTCAGCTTAGTTTACTTTCATTAATTTATGTTTGAATTTATTTATATAATCTAAGAAGTTTCATCATTTGAATAATTATTTATATGCTAAGCAACAATAGATAAGATTCAGCCAAGCAAAATTTTGATTCAAGACTGTTTCCAAAGCTAGATTATAATACTATATATAGAAATAACTATATTTTAAAATCTGAATCTATTGAACCAAATAAAATATACTGTCAAGGTATCATACCAATATAATAACATTGAATATTTGACTGAAAATCTATGCTCATACATACAACACCCAATAACTCTCAACTGCCAAGCCTATTATCTAGATAAAATAGAAAATATAAATGTTAAAGAATAAGACTACAGCTATAAATTCACAAAGGGAAAGTAAAATGTGAGTGACAGAATACATCAGAAGCAAATTTATTAGCCTGAGACTATAGTTTCGAAGTTATATATGAATAGAGGAAGAATGACAGACAACTATGAAAAGGAGAATAAATATGTCTGATGATGCAAATAAATATGAAAGCAGAGAAAAGACAATACAATATCAGAAAATATTGTTTCTTGAGGTCCAGTAGAATAAATTAAAATATTAAATAGTATTGTGAGTACTAGAATAGTGAAAAATCGTAATTATTACATTGAAAACAATATAATAGAAATAAAGAATAGATGGGCTTTATGCATAGTACAATTGTTTTTGATCATTAGCAGTATAATAATCTTTGCACATAAAATTGTATACATTTAATTGCTCAATATTTAAAATAGGTGAAAGCAGAGGTGCTCTTGGATTTTTGTGAGGGTAGGAGGGAGGGCTACCAAGAAAAGGGGTCTAGCATTGCCCACCCAATGCTATCTCATCAAAAGTTTTCATACAAAGCTACATGAGTACTTCTAGGGAATTTATGGGGTTACTAGAAAAACACAATTCAGAAGCCAAAGCTGGAAAATAGTATGGTTTTAAAGCATACTTTAAAAGATTATGTAAATATTCACTATATGCACAAGTAAGTGCATGGCTGGTAAATCATGTTTGTTTACATTTTCTAGACAAGCATTAAAATTTGTTTTTAGTTTCAGCACCAAACTAAAAAGCCAGTATCTTAGATTTGAATTCTACAGCTCAATTTATTTTTTTCCTTAAAGTAAAACAAAAATTAATTGACCTAAATTATTTGTCATGTAAAGCTTGAGAGCTGGCCCTCAGTTTTTAAGAAAATCGGTAGAACAAAAAATGTGTGCCGAGTGCTGTGGCTCACACTTATAATCTCAGCATTTTGGTAGGCTGAGGCAGGTGGATCACAAGGTCAGGAATTAGAGAACAGTCTGGCCAACATAGTGAAACCCTGTCTCTGATAAAAATACAAAAAATTAGCTGGGTGTGGTAGTGTGTGCCTGTAATCGCAGCTACTCAGGAGGCTCTGGCAGGAGAATCGCCTGAACTCGGGAGGTGGAGGTTGCGGTGAGCCGAGGTCATGCCATTGCACTCTAGCCTGGGCAACATTGCCAGACTCTGACTCAAAGGAAAAAAAAAAAAGAAAGAAAGAAAAATGAAAACATGAAGGAGCTAAGTAACTCCAGGTTCTACTGGTGTTAAATGTGCACCACTTAAATACTTGCATCCAAAGCCTTGGTGGAACACTTACTGATTAGGGTCTGATAGCAACTTGATTTATTACATCACTTAAGTAATAAGAATTGAGTTAAACTTAAGATGCCCAAAGGTTAAATTAGAATGTTCCTTATGTCTTGCAAGAAAATTACAGCCAGTCACACTGTCAGAACAAGCCTTCGATATTGGTCAGTCTTCTCGTAGAATCAAATTCTAGTTCCTGGGTGAGCATAGAATTTGTTGATGGTTCTTCTTTGACAGAATTCCTTTATAAACCCTAATATAATATCTATCAAAATAAATGGTATTTCCATTTAAAATTTGAATACTTCCTTTCTTGGTTTTGAATCAACTGTAGTATTTTATTCACTAAGCCTTTGACTGTCTTATTAAAATGTAAAATTTTGAGGCCGGGCGCGGTGGCTCAAGCCTGTAATCCCAGCACTTTGGGAGGCCGAGGCAGGTGGATCACGAGGTCAAGAGATCGAGACCATCCTGGTCAACATGGTGAAACCCCGTCTCCACTAAAAATACAAAAAATTAGCTGGGCATGGTGGTGCATGCCTGTAATCCCAGCTACTCAGGAGGCTGAGGCAGGAGAATTGCCTGAACCCAGGAGGCGGAGGTTGCGGTGAGCCGAGATCGCGCCATTGCACTCCAGCCTGGGTAACATGAGTGAAACTCCATCTCAAAAAAAAAAAAAAATGTAAAATTTTTTAATTACGTAAGTGCATATAGAAAATCTGTGTTAAAATCTGCCACTTACTAATCACCTCCTGTGTCCTCATCCACAGCACTTTTACATAATCTCATTTAATTCTTGCCATATTATATGTTCATAGCTAATACAAGTAAAATTAGTAAGTGAAATCAGAAAACATAAAAATTTTATAGACCTAAACACTTCTCAAGCTAGCTACATAAGCCAAGAAGACATAGAACTGTTAGCCATACATCATAAACTATAAGAATTTGGAATTCAAACAGACTTTCTTTATGGTATAAGCAAAGAAAATGTCTCCTTTGTAGGTTTCTGTCCCTTAAAACATAAATTAGAAAAAGTCACTCCAGTTTGGACCATAAATTAGTTCTGTCAAAAAAGTGATAAAAACATGATTAGAAATGAATTTTGAGAAGAATCTTTTTCTATTTATACTGTTGCCTCATGGCTTTAGTAGCAACTGGAAGCATGAGCCAAGAAAGGCAAGGTGAGGCTGTGTACCTGTTTCCCTTGGTCCTCTTACTTTATTTGCCTTTGTTCTGTTGAGTTTTGGAATTGCTATGTCTTTACTTTCGATTCACCTAGAACATGTGCAGCTGGCCCCAATGCACTAAGCCTCTCAAATATGCCAAAAATGACTTTCTAGCCTCCTAGAATCTGTTTTCAAACATGATTCAGGGAGACTCTAAGATTGTAATTAAAATAAAATTGCCAGAGCAAGCAAACAAACAAAAAGTAACAATTTAGGCAGAGTGAAAAATATAGTCCAATTCAAGAACAGAAAATATATGCTTATAGTTTAGGCAGGAGGGCAAACAAGGTATTATAAATGTTCCTTCAATTAATACTCAAAAATTTCAAACATACATTGTTATATTTTTGCATGTAAGAAGAAAATACAGAAAACAATTTTGGATTTGTCACACCTAAAGTTCTCTAGCATAGGATTTGCCACATTATCACAGAAGGCCATTATTATTTTATTTTAGTCAAATTTCCCTTTAATGGAATCAGCTTCTTAATGCAGAATTTTAATTCAGATCAGCTTCACTCAATACAGGGCTTTGAGTACAAACACAAGAATTCATTAATCAATTGTGCAATTATTTGCACACTTCGCTTTTTCTCATCTTATATTCCTGACAGAGCTAATGATTCAGTGATGTTTATTTTTTTAATTTTCTAGAATGTAGACTTTAAAGTCAACAATTTTAGTGTGCTAATAGTTTGTGGTGTTTTCTTCTTGTTGTTTCAGTCTGTTCCCAGTATTCTAGAGGAGTATTTGCCATTTTTGGACTCTATGATAAGAGGTCGGTACATACCTTGACCTCATTCTGCAGCGCCTTACATATCTCCCTCATCACACCAAGTTTTCCTACTGAGGGGGAGAGCCAGTTTGTTCTGCAACTAAGACCTTCATTACGAGGAGCACTCTTGAGTCTCTTGGATCATTACGAATGGAACTGTTTCGTCTTCCTATATGACACAGACAGGGGTGAGTCCAGTTTCTTTATCTCCATCAGCAAAACTCTAATTTTCAATGTGAAATGACCTTATATGACTTGGGATTTTTAACAAATTGTTTTGATCTCTAATCTAAAATCAGAAAGTTGTTGGTGTGTATTTTTATCTTGATTCTGGGAAAAAATTTCTAGTTAAACAAGCTTCAGATTGACAAGGTTACTCATGGACAAACCATGCTCTGTAACTTCACTGAAGTTAACTATGTGAATAAGAAAAACAAACCAAAGTGTTTTTCCTGCTCTCACACAACAATCAACAAAGAATATTTCTTGACCTCTGATCACCAGCATGTGTGGAAGTTATTCCCATACTCTAGCTAAGTGACCCTCCAGCAGACCCTCCAGAGCACACCTCTACTTCCATTCAATTCTGACATTGTCTGTCTGGAGTTATTTAGCATCAGATCCCACAGGTTGAAGGCTCAGTCCCCCACAAGACTGCACTTTACTTCGGAAGCCAACTAGCTAGAAATTGGGGCTGCTGTGACCCTTCTCCTTGGGTTCAATTGATTTTCAAGCAAAGATCTCAGTGCTTTGGAAAAATGCTTTACTTTCATTTCCTCCTTTATATAAAGAATATTACAGAGGATACAGATGAACAGACAAATGGAAGAAATGGATGGGGAGAGGTGAGGGAAAGGAGTGTGGGGCTTCCATGACCTTCCCAGGTGAGCCACCCTCCAGGAATCTCCTCATGTTCAGCTATCTGGAAACCCTCCTACCTTTGTCCTTTCGATTTTTATGAAAACTACATTGTGTAGGCATAACTGATTATATCATTGGCCATTGACCAACTTAACTTTCATGTCTCTCTTTCTTCCCCAGACGTTGGTGTATGGGGCTGAAAGTCCCAACCATCTGATCTTGCCTTTGTCTTTTGGTAACAAGCTCCCATCTTGGAGCTACCTTAGGGCCCCCAAACCACCAGCTATCTCATTAGCATACTAGAGATAATCCTCTATCCCTAGAAATTCCAGGGGTTTTAGTAACTGTAAATCCAGAAACAGAGAGAAAGATCAAATACATATTTCACAATTTCACAATAACTACTTTAAAAAAATTTCTGTGATGATATTTTCAGGTACAGTTATAACATAAATATGTTACTTTGCTTCAGAGGCAAATGAGTTAATGTTTTGGAACATATTAAAATTACTGGGCCATAATGTTGTGTTTGAAATACAAAGCTCTAAGTGAATAATTGAAGGGCCATGACAATGATGATAGAAGTTTGTCAATAAGACTACATTTGCTGGCAACCTTTCACTTTTCCAGTTTTGAAAGATTAATAAGTGATCCCTTGTGTGTGGGAGAGACAAGGTGAATAATTCACATATTGCATTGTTAGCAATCCGTACATTTCGTTCAGTGGTTGATATAGCTTTATCTTTCAGCTGGAGGAACAACTTAAGGAATTATCATGCATGTTTTCCAATGCTGTTTTTTATTTAGTGACTAGAATCATAGCAACATACTATATTTAAAAAATAAACGTTAAGGGACCATCTGTGGGTTCTGTCTTCAGTCCTTTTTTTCTTAAGGTTTAAGAGCCATGAGAAGATAGGAAGTTAAAATAAAGGTTGTAATAGGCAGTATTTTAAGAATATTCTTGAATGGAATTCTATCTATAAAATGAGTAAGGGTGATAAATAGCCTTTTCTATCTATGAAGTAAGTATAATAAATATCCTTAAATCTTTTCAAAAGATTTGTTTCAAACGTTTGAAGAAGATATAATACACCTTCCAGAATCCAAAGTATAACTTCCTGTATTCATAGATGAAAACCCATGAAATGAATTCATCTTTATCACTAGAATTTACATTTTTAATTCAGTGCAAACAGTGTCATTAAAGATGTCACACCAATGGTGTTTCTAGTACATAATTTCTATTGGTATTCTTAGTAAATTCTCCTTTCAGAAATAAGCTCAGCAAATTCAGTATCATCATCATATTTTCTATAAGCTTGCAGCATACTTTAATTCTCATTTGGAAATACCAGAATCTACTTATATTGCCTACTATTATTTGTTATTAGCTAACAATCTAAAGCATCCTAGGGGATAAATTACATGTTAGAGAAAACATCACTCTATTCATTTCTAACTGTTGGAAAAATCCTTAAGCAAGAGGACACTGAATGTTGAGTCATACTGTCAATAAATATATATCAGGATATAGAAGAGATGGTGCTGCCTGTGGTTCATTATAACATAGCCCAGTTCTCCACCCTCAGCAGAGATGCTTATTTTATGACTTATTCTCATGGAAATACCAGTGGGAGCTGTGTCTCACTTTTTCTTTATGTCCCTGTATAAATCCATTTCTTGCAAGGAGAGTGTTGTAGGTATAATTCATGCATTGGTGGGGACACAGAACAGGGATTAAAGTGGCACTTGGCTTTTGTATCCATTTATACTTCCCAAGGTCCCTGCTCCTGTATAACAAGTCAGATGCTCCAAACTTGAGTCATTCCCATTACTTCCTACCAAGAGAGCTCTCTGCTATAAGCAGAAATATACTTGGTTATTTAAAGAATCTTTGTCTCATTAACTTTCTGCCTGCAGAGTCTTAACCCCATCATGGTACAGCCATGACTTCTTCTAATAGTGGTGTCTTGTAAGCCTTTAACCTATTTACTGGCTTGCTATGCAAAGCCTACTTTTTGCATGTAGTCATCCTAGAATTTAACTGTTGTACTTCTAACCAATTGATGCTGTTTCTAGAATTTCTTAGTTCTCTTCAGTTGTTGCTTCAGAATGAATAACTAGTTCTTTATATTGTCACCTATAGTAATTACCAACTCAACTTCAAAACAGACATCTTTATTTAAAGAAGCAATTGCCTGAACCAAAAAATAACATATCAGAAAAATGGCTGTTTCTTGATGTTCAGATAGCTTTCCCTGCCATGACAGCATCATGCTTCCCAGCATTCTTGATCTTAATTGAGTACTTTCAAAGCAGAAGAATGGATTTTTCTCCCTTAGAAATTGTCATGCTCATTTTATAAATTTAATATCATAAACCCTATTTATTTCCTCTTAGATACTGTGCTTATAATTATGTATCACTCTCACCAATTGAGATACGAACAGATTATTAACTCATTATAAACATAGTAAGCCAAGAGTAATTCACATTTTCACATCATAAAGAGAAAAAAGATTTCAAATAATTACACACATCATTAAAATCAAAATATAATATACAAAAAAACAAGTGTAAAGAAATAAGATACTAAGTGAAATACTATCTTATTTCTTTTGGTGCTTTTTGGTATATTTTGGTCCTTTTCTTTCCTCCTATGTTGTTATCATGAACTGATTATCTAAATTTTTTTTCCATTTTAAGTAATTGCCTTAATGACTGAATTTCTTTACCAACTTGAATGGAGCATTGTTTTCCGACGCATTATAAATCCATATTTTGGAATAAGATATTTTGTTGGGCTGCTCAGTCATTCTGATATCTAAATCCCAACAGTGCCAAAACACTCTTACAAAATGCAAGAATTTACTCTGTCATTCCTTGGAGTAGTGTTTTTATGTTGAACTTCAGCAATTAAAGGAATGATCATCTATTTGCTATGATAGAGGTCTTATGATCTGTTATGAATTAGCTGTATGAACTTGCCTATGTTGTGCTTTTGGCTGTATCTGTATTTAAAAAACTAATTGCATTATATTTAAGTTTTTTCAAATTATCTTTACAATTTCATTTCATTTTTTAATTCAGATATTCTGTTTCTTACCTGGAAATGTGAACAGAAGCAGAAAGATAGCACATGGCATACCTGATCTTATCAGCAGGAAAACCTGCTTCTGTTCATTTGACTACCTCTCAGTGAAGAAAAAAAGCATCCATTCATTTATTTATTCAATTTATTCATTTAACATTCAATAAGTATTTATTTTTCAATTTGTATCAGACACCTTAATAGATACTGAGAAGACAATGATGAGCAAGACACCACTGAAAATGAATTAACTCCGGTGCTATGACTTCATTAGGAAATACTACACAACACTGTAGTTAACAACCAGAAATTTGCCTTTGACATATAGCCTAATACTTTAAAATTTTAATTTGGAACACAACTGCTTTCCAAAAAGATAATTGCCTCTTTTGGAAAAACAATTAGAAAACATCACTTAACTACAAACTTTAATGAGATGATAAATAAACTAGTTCCACCATACCCACACTGCCCAAGAGAACTTTCTGTGATGATGGAATTATTCTGTAATCTGGGTTATCAAATATGGTTACCTTTACCACATGAAACTATTGTGGGTTTAAAATATGACTTATACAACTGAGAAACTGAATTTTTAATTTTATTTAACTTTAATAAATTTAAATAGCCATGGCTACCATACTGGACAACTGACACATCCAACCATCGAGCGCATACAAAATAACATACATCACTATGAGTGAAGTTTTTAAATCTCTTATTGACTCATATTTTACTATACAAGAACTTATTGAGCAACCTGTGCATAACACTTTTGCTAATAATTTTCACACTGCGTTGTGTATACATTTACATATCTTTTCTTCCCCCAGAATTGTGTTTCTCCAGTAATCACTGTTTCTTATAACATTTATATTTCTTTTGTCTGGCATAGTAATCCCTGAGAGGCATGCTATGGATAACAACTGAATTAATGAATCAATCTAGTGAAGTGCTTGGCAATAGGTATCAAACGATTTTAGGGCCTTAATAACTAATGATATAATTCATTTTTGATTAATAGTGTCATATTTTAATAGATCAAATAGCTAATAGAACAGCCAAAATGAAAAACTGACTGGGAGAGATGTTACTTGAATTAAGTGTAATTTTCTTATCACAAAAAAAAATGTTGAGCAGGCTTAAAGATAACATTTTTACTTAGACCCACTTAAACTAAATATTTAGAAAATGTTTAAAAATCAATTTTTCTGGTAATAGAAAACTTTTAAT